GTGCATTTCTCAGACCTTCAGGTCTGCTTTGACATCCTCATCTAATTTGTTTCTGAATAACTGTCTTCCCAAAACGACTTTCTCCATTTACTTTGAGCAGAAGTTGGCACTTTAACTCCTTTCATGTGTTGCATGCTGCTACATACTAGTTGCACTTTTTAATGTAGAATGCATCTGTTTTATTTATGGTAAGAAGTCTTTGAATACAGTCAGTCATTGACTAATTTAATACAATTTTAACAAGTAGAGGACATAATCATTCATAAACATTGCTGGTTGCTCATGGCTGATCACCTAGGTCCTGTTGGTGCACAGAACAGTTTCCAGTTGAACCCTTCTCCATAAAGAACCCACATCACATAGACAAAAAGTGGTCTGTGAACAAAACCCTCGCAGGGTAAGCAGGAATAGTGCAGTGGGGAGAAGGATTTGCCTCTAAATTGCACTTTGGTCTGAACTGAAACACTAATGTAAACATGGCCCTCAGCTACCAGAACAAGGCCCTCACCTATATTTTACAGAGAGAGTATGAGATCAAATAGATTCTGTGCTGTTAACTTTAAACTCATTTAGCCTGACATGGATGTGAGGACAGAGAGGAACACCATGGGAACAGAAAATGGATTTAAGATCACCAAGGCATCACTCTTTGAATACTTACATGCCTACATATATGTTTATTTTGCTTGTTCTGTTCTTTTCTTTGATCTAATCTCTTCAAATCTCTTGGTAAACTAAAGTGTGATCTTTTTATATATGTAAAATCCATAAATATGCACACATGCCAAGTGTGCCTTATAGAGAGTTTACAGATGTTCCCAAACTGCAATGCTTTAGACAGAGCAGCCTCTTGAGTTTCATCCTTGCGTTGACTGACCTCAGCTGAAGACCTTTCATCGTGCCCACGTGTCCTTTATCTCAGCGTGGCAGGCTGAAGCAGTTGCTGTACCTGTCCTGCCCAGGGGTGTTTGTTCTCCTCTGCTGAAGCTGCAATCCTCTTAGCTGTGTCAGAAAATGCTGCATGTGTGGCTGCTCTCCAGGCCAGGTATTTCTGGGTGCCCACATTAGCTCAGGTATTCTTGATATCTAAAGCAGGTCACTTGGACAGAGCCACGCTGGGGAATGATGACACAAGGGGTTGTGCTGACAGATGGGGAGGAGCTGCTGTCTCACTCGTGGTGTTGCTGTTTTCACCAGGCACACTTTAGCCTGAAACCATTCCTTATAAATAAAGTATATTTTGTTACTAAAAGCAATTAAAATCAAAGTATCTGCTTCTCCAGGGAGAGAAGGAAGCATGAGCTGGCTCTCACCACATCCATGGGAAGAAGGGGAGTTTCCCACCTTACAGGCATTAAATCTCAGATACAGTTGTGGTGTGTGGGATTGTAATTTGGGCACCCACAGCTGGGTTACACCTGAGCAGTGAGTTGTTTTTCTGTCACTTTTTCTGTGGGCTGAGTTTGGAGTGTCACTGGTCAGTACCCACGTGGGGAAAGCGATAAGTGGGTGTGCTGAAATAAACTGGGAGAAGTTGTCTTCTACCCCCCCAATAATTTGCCTGATAACTTCCCCTCACGCCTGTTTTATCTTGCCTTTTTATAGAGTGTGGAGTGTCACTGGTCAGTACCCACGTGGGGAAAGCGATAACTGGGTGTGCTGAAATAAACTGGGAGAAGTTGTCTTCTACCCCCCCCACACACAATAATTTGCCTAATAACTTCCCCTCACGCCTGTTTTATCTTGCCTTTTTATATAATGTCCTATTTGATGTGATTCTTCCACAACACTTGAAAACTAACCATGAGCAGCAAACCCTGGCAGCACAGAAGCTTGGAATGGCTATAAATAAGAGTGACCCTGTGGCAGGAGGGATGGGCACTGCAGAGATGGTAGCTGGCACGGATGGCTGCTGGGGGCTGAGGATGTGGTCTAGCTCCTACCCTGGTGTCCAAGAGGCACTCGGCCAGTTTCTGACACTCTGAGCTAACTCTGCACAAGATCCCAAAAGCCCCAGGTTAGCTCCAGGGTGGCAGTGGTGGGAGGAGAAGCCATCCCCCTGTGAGGAGGTTACCTACCTGTATCATCAAACCACGCTGTGATCCACGCGGAGGTAGAAAAAATAGACTTTTTTCCTTCACACACATGTTCTCTCTTTCATTTTAATATTTGGATGTAAGTTGTTAGTATCTTCCAACAAAACGCTATGAGATCTCTTGCATTGGAGCACCCTGCTGTGAGTGACCTTCTCGAGCAGGGGGGTTGGATGAGGTGATCTCCAGAGGTCCCTTCCAACCCCACCATGCTGGGGTTTGGTGATATTTCATTTCATGTCACTGCTCTATGTCAAAATCAAACAGATCACTTGGGCAAGTTTTCCTTTTCAGTAGGAAAAGAGAAGGACAAGTTCATGGTCTCCATTTTTTGCCACAGAATTGAGTTTGAACATGCCACTAGCTGAGGATGAATATTCCTGTTCTATACCCAAACCTGTCCTATTCCCAAATCCATTTTTCTCTTCCCCTATCCGTGTGAGAAGCATGTATGTACCTGTTGTCACCAGCAAAAGTGTTGAAGCAGAATATTCCTGAGCAGTTTTTCGGGTGGTCCTAGGGGAGTTGGACTAATCAAGCTGAAGTAATCCAGAAGGTCCCTCACTAAAGCTCTGAAGCTTCATGATAAATTGTGTATCACAGGTTAATTATTCTAATTTTTGTGTTGTAAATAAAATAGAAATAAGATGTCTAAGAGAATTAAAGGGTTAGGAATAAAGTCTCCTTTAATCAAAAAGAGCAATGTCACCGTGGGCTTTGTTGAAGATTTGGACAATGCAGCTAAATATAACGGGTTTCTTCATGCATTTCTGTTTGCTCTATAAATCATCGGGCTGGGAATGGATTTTTGCTTCTCCTGCTCTACAGTTCATCTGTTATCTCTGCAAGGTGTCTGTTTTTTTGGATGAGAGGGATGGCTTCCTACTTGAAAAGGGCATGTCCTTAATGGGTGGCCTTTCAGTACAGAAAGGCGTCGGGAGAACTTTGTGCCCAGTAATCGATGCTGTTTGCTACAGAGAATTTCCCACTAGAAAATAAAAATACCTAGCTAGTAGTAGAGATCTTGTGCTGAGAACTGTGTTTTTAAAATCTATTTTAGAAGGCTGAGAGCAGGAGAGAGGATAAGCCAGACCAGAGCACTAACTGCTTTTTTGACAGTATATCCAGTTTGATTCATGAGTTTGGTTTTAGGATTGGTCTTGTTTTTTTTTAATTTCACTTTTCTGGCCTAATACTAGAACGTCTTTTTACTCAGTCTCTACTTAAAAAAAGTGAAGGCATATTTCTCCATAATGACTTCATTATTTGGGGGGTAATGTTTTGGTTAAGATGTTTTCAAATACAGTTGTATGGAAACCAATAGTTTCATTTTTCTAGCTGCCTGGTGTTTTGTCTGGCAACTACAAAAAAGTGAAATAACCAGAACAAAACCAGTTGCAACATACTGTGACATTTTAAATAATATTTGGACAATTTATGTTGGATCACTCTCTAAAATGTGTCGAATTGACAAGTGAGCAGCAAGGTAAAGGTGGAGTTAGTTTGTGTTTGGTCTTTTTTTGTGCGTTGTTGTTTTGGCTGGTTTTTTAAAGACCTTTTTTAACATCCTAAGGTTGGGACACCTGCAGGGTATCACATGGGCTTGTAGCGTGTGTAGTTACGTTGCTGCTGAGATGATGATAGTAATAAAAATAATAATAATTACAATAATTTAACGTCAGTGTTGAAAACTAGATGGTAGGTTGTGGTGACACGCTGCGTGTAAAACTGAGCCTCACTCTGAAGAGAATCTGCTGTCAACAGCCATATGATTTGGTAATGAGTTGTATACCATATACATCCCATAAATGCCCCTGTTTTCCTTCTCTCTTCCCAAAATGTTTTGTGGATGTTCTATTTAGTAAGTGCCACTCCAGTAGATGCCGCTCTGGTCCTCAGAGGTTCTCCTAGGAGTGTTTGGGCTCTGTTCATGAGGAGCTAGGAGTTGTAATTAATAATGATAACCCCATCCCCCTCTCTATGCCTTTTTTATTATTATTTTGTTTAAATAACCAAAAAGAAGCTGGATTGGCCCCATAAGTGAAATGAAGCAGATGGAGAGTTTAGCAGAAGGAGCAGCCTGGGTAGGGAAAATGAAGTGAAAGGGGGAGATCCTAGGGCTGACCTTGCACGTGGGTCCTGTCCCGTGCAGGGGTCCCCTTGCTGCAGAGCAGGCTGCCTGGCAGGGCCCTGGGGGGCAGCAGGAGCCCCTGTCCCACACCTGCTCTGCCCCACCACCCAAATTCCTCGGGCAGGGGTCCCGTGGCAAGCCCGTGCCACATGCTTGGGACAGAAGCATGGGCTCTGTTTGCAGATAAGTGAGGTGTGGTGATTTGTTAAGTACGTGTAGCAAAGACTGGCTGGAACAAGTTCTCTGTGTTCACAAGAACAGCTCCTGAAAAAAAAAACCTCTTCTGTGTTTGCCCCTGTTTCTGGGCTGTAGCACCTTGTCCCTGGTAGCTGCAGGGTGGCTCCCTGTGAGGGAGAGATTCTCACTTCCAAATTGCTAAGTTTTGCAAGGCAAACAGGCCGTGTTTCCACAGCCTGTTTAACACCAACTCTGTGTTTGGAGGGGAAATCCTGTCCAGGGTGAAGTCGGTGTCAGGACTTCACTGGGGCCAGTGCTGATTGTCAGCTGTCATGTGTCATGGTCAGGCCCCTGTGTGTGCTCAATACCTGGCTGAAGAACAGTTTTGATATTTTAGAACATCTCTGATGGGATGGAAGCAACAATCTGGAGTTTAAAGAGGGATTTCCAGTCAGCAGTGAGACTGTAAGCTACAGAGCTGCAACACAGAACTACAAGAGTATCTTTAAACCAATCCACACTGAAATTATTTGCATGCAAGTTGCTCGTTGGAGTTGTGCATCTGCCCATGTCTAATGCTGAATTTTCCTTTTCAACAGGTAGAGAGGATTGTTGACAAGAGGAAAAACAAGAAGGGAAAAACGGAGTATTTGGTGCGGTGGAAAGGATACGACAGTGAAGATGATACCTGGGAGCCAGAACAGCACCTTGTTAACTGTGAGGAATATATACACGAGTTTAACAGACGCCACAACGAGAAGCAGAAAGAAAGCACATTAACCAGGACAAACAGGACCTCTCCCAATAATGCCAGAAAACAAATTTCTAGATCTACCAATAGTTCTTTTTCAAAGACATCTACTAAATCTTTAGTTATGGGTAAAGACCACGAGTCAAAAAATAATCAACTCTTTTCTGCCAGCCAGAAGTTCCGGAAAAATAATCCACCATCTCTTTCTGGAAGGAAAAATATGGACCTTGCAAAATCAGGTATTAAAATCCTAGTGCCCAAAAGCCCAATTAAGAGCCGGACAACAGTTGATGGGTTCCAGAATGAAAGCCCAGACAAAATGGACCATATAGAGCAGGATCAAGAAGACTCTGTAGCACCAGAAGTAGCAGCAGAAAAACCGGTGGGAGCTTTATTAGGCCCTGGTGCGGAGCGTGCCAGGATGGGGAGCAGACCAAGGATACACCCCCTAGTGCCACAGCTGCCAGTGCCAGTGCCAGCCACCATCGCCTCCGCGCTGACGATAAACGGGAAAGGTAGGTGGGCAGTGGGGGTGGGCAGGGGGGGCTGCCAGCTGGGGGGCCTGACTTTGCCAGTTGGGCACAAACAGCTTGCCCACTCTGTTTCAGCCACGTCACATCCAGCCTGGAGAACTTCACAGCTTTATTTTATATAGCTAGAGCTGCAGAGCCACTTTGAATTCTGCCAGGTTTTGGTTTCCTGGCAGAGAGGTGTTGGTATTTGTGTTTTCAGCATGCCCATGACATGCCTCTGTGTTTGCCTTGGCACTGTGTGGCACGTGTGTTCCGGGTACCGTTTCCAGAGGTGACAACATTGCTTCAACTTTATTTAAGCAGGTCAAATTCATTATGAATATTATCAACAGAAATTATGGGAATAGACGAATGATACGAGCAGTGATTCTTCATAACAATTTACATCTCTATTTTGTTATAAATATTGCCTGATGAAAAAAACATGAGAATGATGTTGTTTGAAAAAAACAAAGTTGGTACTTTTTGTTTCAGTGAAAACTTGAGCTGTTTGTGGAGATACATTTGCCTTCTGCCTGGACTGAATTCTGTCTTTGTTGCATTTTATCAATATTTTGTTGTTTGTACCTCATTTGATATTGAGAACTTATTTAGACTTGATGCCTGGCTTGCTAATATCTCAGCAGATAACAGTTTATTCAGCTTGTCCTGTAAAATCTGTGATCCCAAAGAAACCCAAACCGCTTTTGTAGGAGGAAGCTGTTTGTTCTCCTCACCCAAGACTTTCGTGGTGGTCCTTCTTGTGCCCCAAACCTTTGTTCCTCCCTGCCAGACCCAGGCTGTTGTGTAGCGACAGGTGTTCTCACAAACACACTTTTTGGGCTCAATTTTCAAGCGTAATAGTGCGTCCGCAAATGAAGCGCAGCGGGTGAAGGCTGCAGGTATGCTGTTGATGGAAAAACTGCTTGAAAACCAAGGACTGGGCTTGCCACATGCTTGGAGGCAATGTATATAGGCAAAAAAAAAGTGTTGAGGACTTTGGGAGAGTTTGTGTTGGGTGCCCCATGGTTGCTTGCATTCGGCTTTTCAGAAGAACCAGCTGCAGCAGGTTGGAAGCCGAGGGCAGGGGAGGAACGTGCTCCTGGAGCTGTGGTGTCAGGTCATGGACCAGCCCCTTCTGCTGCAGATGAACTAGGTAACCATGGCAATACAGACAGGGATGCCAGGAATATCTCTTCCTTTGCATGGGCTAAAGAAGGAATGCAAATCTCAGAGGATACAAACAAAGCTGGAGGGGAAGATGCAAGAGTTGCCAGTGTGTGACTTTTCTGAGTAGGTGAGGTAGAGGAGTGTGTGTGCATGTGTGATGGGCCTGTGGTAATTAATATGCATTTTGGAGCTGATGATGCTGCTAGTGAAGTGACTGATAAGTGCTGCCTTTGGCCTCATGGTTTTTTGGCTCTTGGAGTTTAGAAGAAAAATGAGGTCACAAAGGATCTTCTTGGGTAGCTCAGTGACCACAAGTGATGAAATCACTCCCACCAGCCTTTCACTCTGGTAGCAGTGGTACAGCAAGGGCCCAGTCACAGGGCACCGAGTGGAGGTGGAAGGACCTGCACAGGACTGGTAGTGACACATGAATTAGCAGTGGGGCATGTTCCTGTTTCACTGAGATGTGCCAGCTGCCACCACCTCTGCCAGCTCTCCGGAGGCATTTGTCTGGGCAGCTGACATGGAACGGTACCGGCTGTCCCTAGGGGTGATGGCTGTGAGAGATTTTTCTCACACATTTTCACAAGACCTTAAGGTGTGGATCAAAAAAAAAAGGAGACTTGAGGAGAGAGAGTCACAATACGTGGTTGTCCAAAACTACACAGCATGTTCCCACCTTCTGTTTGCTGCTGGAGGGATATCAGTGCAGGTCCGTTACCTGAGGCTCCCTCTCTGTGCTGACACACCTATGCCCATCCCCAGGCCAGGCTGGGCAGTCTGCTGGGCAAGGGGTGCCACGTGTCCATGGCTACTGCAGCCTTGCAGGCAGCTCCACCCCTCTGCAACACTTGTGGGGGCAACATCCAAATTAAGCAGTAATCCTCTCATTATAAAACTTGGGAACAAAGCTGCAAAGAAAACCACTTTGTGTTTCTGTCTCCTGTCAGTCCCTTTTCCTGGCTTTCCTGGCTTTTCAGGGCTTCTTGGACAGACCCCTTTCTCACAGACACCCTGGCTCCACCTTGGCCATTCCTCATGGCTGGAGTGGACCCTCCTTCAGAGAGAGGCCCCAAGAGGCAGCCCTGGCTCCTAGAGCTGGCCTGGCCTCCGAGCTCCCCGACCTGGCTCCTCCATCTCTTCATTAATCTGCACTTCCTCCTTGCTGTTTTTAGCTTTACCTTCACACTGCTGTTCATTAAAAATGCAGGGAATCGATGCTTCCCCCCCTCCCTCCCCTGCATGGGGCTGTCACAGCCCAGCAGCCTGTTTCTCCCCTCACTCAGGACATTCTGTCTCAAGTGGACACCTCATCTCCTTGTCCCCACGGGGTGAGAGGAGGCGTGGCACAGGAACACCATCCAGCTCCCACCCTCGGCCTCCTGTGCACCAGATCTGCCACATATGCAGGGAATCGATGCTTCCCCCCCTCCCTCCCCTGCATGGGGCTGTCACAGCCCAGCAGCCTGTTTCTCCCCTCACTCAGGACATTCTGTCTCAAGTGGACACCTCATCTCCTTGTCCCCACGGGGTGAGAGGAGGCGTGGCACAGGAACACCATCCAGCTCCCACCCTCGGCCTCCTGTGCACCAGATCTGCCACATCAGTGATGGAGA